CCAGCTGATTTCAGTGCACAGAGAATTTAAAAGCAAGTGAGGGTACTTCAAAAAGTTCAGGAACAAATGGAATGAAAGAGATAAAGGAATTTTCCATGAACTTTTGGAAGCCCTCTTCATATTTATCTAAATTCTTACTCTATCATTCACATGGTGATAAGATAATGATGCTGTGCATTGTCCCAATGTCTTTGCTTTGACGGCCACCCCAGGAGATATGAGAAGAGTAGACTCAGCAGGTACCCTCCTATACTTCATACGTGCACTAAGCAGAAAACTTCTCACAGGTAATGTCCTGTCTGCATGTTTGTTTCACTACCTCCAAGTCTGTAAGGCTCTTGGCTTCTGGGACCATGTTTGTCTGGTTCACTTCTATATACCCATTGCCAGACACAGTGCCAAACACAATTGTTGTTGTTAAGTGCCATCGAGTCAGTTCCGACTCATGGTGATCCAGTATAGGGTTTCCAAGGAGCGGCTGGTGAGTTTGCACCACCGACCTCACAATTCAAATGGCTTTGTAGTCTGGTGTATTAACCCATAGCACCACACCAGGTCTCAAACACACAGTAGGTACTTTTAAAAATAGAAATTCATAAAAATGTTTACATACCAATTTATCTATCCATGTAATACAACTGGAGTCCTGGTTTGGCACAGTAGAATAAGCACTGAAATGCTAACCACAAGGTCAGAAGTTCAAACTCACCAGTCGCTCCTTGGAAACCCTATACAGGATCACCATGAGTCGGAACTGACTCGATGGCACTTAACAACTACAGTAACATCATACAACTAAAGAGTAGAGGTGAGTGGCAAAATCAACAATGATACCGACATACAGCAATCCTGGTGAGGTGCTGTGGGTTAAAGCACTAGACTGCAAGGTCTGTTTGGACTGCAAGATCAGTGGTTCAAGCTCACCAGTTGCTCCTCGGAAACCCTATACAGGGTCGCTATGAGTCGGAATCTGCTCAACAGCACTTAACAACAACAACAAATAACATATATGAATACCTCGATATATCTGCATATCTAACCCTGACCTCACCTAGACAATTCTCTGTCAGAAAAATGGAAGCATTTATTGAGACACCAAGACCAGTTGACCTTCCTTACTGTGACAGGAAGACACCTTTTATTTAAGCATCATGTGGTCATTTTTTAAAAAAACAACTTTAATTTTTGTTTGTTTTTAATATAAATAATTCCAATGTACAGGGTTGTTATGAGTCAAAACCAACTTGACAGTATTTAACAACAGCAACATGTACAGGATAAACAGAACTGAGGTAAAGTATTTTTGGGTAAACAAAAAAATATAACATATAGGTTCCCTCTGTAAGATAAAAAAAAAAAAAAAAAGTACCTTCAATTTGGGATAATAAGCTAGGTGCATATAGGTTAAGAAAGCAAGAGTTAAATAAAAAGGATTTTGCTGCTAATCAAAATGCCAGGCATGGGTCTATACTAATTTGCTCACTTGTCATCATCTTCACTTAGCTTCTACTCGAATCATATGCTTTGTTCAAATCCTATACAGCTATCAACTCTGCCCAGCACTGGGCTTGCTTCCTCCCAAGCTGTCCCATACACAAAAGATCTTAACAAGAACATTTTCAACCAAGTCATGTTGGTTACAAACCTTTTCCACAAAGACTCATGAAGTCTATTCTAAATGATTCTGATACTGTTTGATCTTTGTACATATCTCCTCATAATCCTACACCTTTAACTCTTATGGACCCTGCTGTACAAAGACAGTAGGGTATTTATACATTTATCATACGTGTCTTCCTACAGGACCAAATCACTCTCATTATCTTCTTCCTTGTAACACATTAAGAGTACCTGGCTAGTATGCATGTAGCAGTTCAATTGCTATTATATACTGATTATAATGAAGAACAGCTGGTGCCAAGTCTGCAAAACAGTGGCTCAATCTTTAATGGTTAACTCCTTTTAGTGTTTAGAACCTCTGGATGCATTTTACGCTAAGTTCAAAAATAGGGAAAAATCTCTTTAAGACGAAACTCCACTGATGATCTAATAGAACGTACCCTAAGCAATTACTTCTTTTCCTAAATTCTTGGAGACTATTTTGTAATTTGAAAAAAGGTAAACTCTTAGATATTCAAGGCAATATAAAACACACCCATAAAGCCACTCAGTGGTGCCAATGGCTACAGGGTTTAAAAAAAAAAAAAATCAGCCATTGCAAACCCTATGAAGCATGGTTCTACTCTGTCACACACAGGGATTCCATGAGGCAGAGTCACTCTGACAGGAACTGGCTTAAAACATGACCATAATAACAGAGGTTTTAAGTTGAATATTTTCTAAAGTCCTCTATAAACACCGTTAGGCAAAGTCTGGGCAATAAAGGATTAAATCAGTTTGCCCCAGTGTGCCAGGGCATGATTCCAGTCATTCTTTTAAGTTATTAAAGTAACAAGAATAGAGGATGGAATGTAAATTCAAAAAACAAAAGAGAAAATACACAAGAGATGCTGAGATGCTACAAAGAGACATTGAGATGCTGAGACCCAGAAACAGAAACTCATTGTCTCTGAGGGAATTGTTTATCTAGTATTCAAAATCTTTGGAAACCATAAGATTTGCTGCTGAGAGGGTTTTTTGTTCTGATTGCTAAGAACTTGAAAGCACTCTAGTTTTCAAAGAGGTGACAATGGCAATGAGAAAAGGACAAGGAATGCCCCCCTTTACCTTGCAATATGCCATCTGCGTTCCACCAGTAAATGGATATCCTCAATTCTTCTGTTGTTGGCATAGTGCAAACGCTTAGGAAGGTGCTGTTTCATATAAGGCTTAAAGTGCTGGTCAGGTTTCTTACACTGAAATTTAAATGGAAAACTTTGCATGGAATATCTCTTAGGAAAAATCCTAGTCATTCTCTCTCTAGAAAGATGCAAGAGGTTTTAAGCCAAACAAAAGGTTAGTTTGTGAATAAAGGGAATGTGTTAACCCTGTATCAAAAAAAAAAAAAAAAAGGAGTCCTGGTGTGGTGCTGTGGGTTAATGCACTGGACTGCAAAGTCGGTTTAAACTGTCAGGTCGGCGGTTCAAGCTTACCAGCCACTCCTCAGAAACAAACCCTGTACAGGATCACTATGGGTTGTAACCGACTCGATGGCACTTAATAACAACAACATATCAAAAAATACAATCTGAAAACAAGTTACCGACACAAAGAGATTAGGTAACTTTGGGAAAATGTCAAGATACAGTCCAGCCTCATGAGACCACCACTTAGAAGATGTGAAACTCTAAGACCTTTCCCAACTGCTTCAAGTCAAGGAGACACAGTGGGAAGGAAGGGGGACATGCATTTAGGTCAATGTGATTACATGCTCGCGTGCGTTTTAGGTCTATATCATGGCGTTCTGGTGTAGATAAGCATTGGACAGCTAACCACAAGATTGGCCCTTCAAACCCACAAGTTGCTCCTCAGAAATTCTATACAGTGTCACCATGAGTTGAAACTGACTTGATGGCACATAACAACAATAACAAATCCTGAATTGGACAATAACAGAACAGGGTAGTGGGCAGATCTGATTCAGAGAGATCAAATATTTGTTGAATCATGAATGACTACTCTTCAGTTCTAATGGAAAGATCAAATATTCTCAGTTCCTTTTTGTCATTGTTAAGTGCCTTTGAGTTGGTTTCAACTCATAGTAACCCTGTATAGGGTTTCAGACGCTATAAATCTTTGCAGGAGCAGAAAGCCTCATTTTCCTCCCCTGGAGCAGCTGGCAGCCTCAAACCACAGACCTCGTGTTTGCAGTCCAGTGCTTATGGTCTGGAGCCACCGCACTCCCCTCACAATTCATGGAGTCAGGGTATTGCCCAAATCATCAGGATGTCCAAGGTGTCAACAGACCAGGTGACTGAAAGCGCTTAGACAAACACAGGGTCTCTGGTTTGATGTTCCTCCTGCCCCTCAAAGAGCTGAGTGGGAGGTGAATACATGAAAGCTGCCTGTGGCAAAGGTCTGGAGATTTGCACTACTTACTGTGAGATTAGCAAGGATGACTTTCGGGTCATCTGTTCAAAGAGAGAAAGAGACGAATTTCAAAAGAAATGACAAAAATTATTGAGCGTAATCATTTTTGTAGCAAGAGACTCAATCCTTTTTTCCTCTCTTAGATAGGCTATCACTTTAAAACTTCATTTAAAATATATGTGAACATAAACAAAATATGTGTAAACTTGTATGAGGTATTTGATGCTTCAGTGAGTGAAATGCCGCTAAACCAGCAGATGAAATCCCACAGGGAGGAACCGTCCCACTGGAGTTGAGTCTCCTCTTCTGAAAGGAATCTGCTTCGGTGGCTCCAGGATACAGCGGGTAATCGCCTCTTTACAGTCTCCAAATGGTCTCTCGGGAATGTGGATTTCATTTATTTGCAACTTAACATCAGGAGGTAAACTGTGCATCGGGCACTGGGACTTTTCATGTAATTTCCGATTAATCTGCAGCTTCTTGGATCAGGCCACTGTCTACCCTAAAGATAAACGTCCTCATTCATGAGTTATTATTTAAGTGTTTTGTTTCCACAGTAATATCATGAGTCTAATTATGTAGCTGGAGTCCCAGTGTGGCACTGTTGGATAAGTACTAGACTGCTAACCACAAGATTGGTGGTTCAAACCCACCAGCCACTCCTTGGCAACTTTATAAAGTGGCTCTTATGAGTCAGAACTGACTCAACAGTACTTAACAACAACAACAACAACAATTACATAGTTAGGAGGCTGGTGGCACAATAGGTAAGCACTCAGCTGCTAAACAAAAAGTGGGTGGTTCAAACCCACCCAAATGGCTCCATGGGAGAAAGCCAATGTGATCTGTTTCCATAAACATTACAGCCTAGAAAATCCTGTGAGGTCGTTCCATATGGTCACATTGGGTCGCTGGGAATCAAAATCGACTCCACAGCACCCCAAGACAACAACTTATCTAGCTAGCTGTGCCTCTCCAGCATGTATATGTTGTTGTTATTGTTAAATGCCATCGAGTTGGTTCTGACTCATAGCAACCCTGTACAATATGCAAGGAGCAGCTGGTGGGTCTGAATTGCCACCTCATGGTTCAAGTCAAGCTTGAGATCCGGCGCTTATCCTATAGTGCCATGCCAGGATGCCATACATATTTATGTTGTTGCTGTTAAATGCCGTGGAGTGGGTTCTGACTCACAACGACTCTGTATAGGGTTTCCCAGGAGCAGCTGGTGGGTGTGAACTGCAGACTGTGCAGGTTCAAACTGACCTTATGGCCCAGAACATTATCCTACAGCATCACACCTGGACTCCATACGTATGTATGCACCTCATTTATTTTAACTACCAGCAAACAAAGGCTATTTTTTGTTAATATCCTGAACTAATCACAAGCAAAACTAAGTAAATGATGGCTGTGTATAAACTGTGGGCAGCTCTATACCATCTGAAGGTCCACTTTGGGGAGAGATGGGGAAAAGGAGGAGATTGTAAGTTGGTTCGATTTTGTTTTGTTTTCCAATAATTTGATTCCACGTGTCATTATAGAAACAGCAGAAAAGGAAAGCAGCATTCAGGAAAGATGCCAAATGTCATGGTGTGACCATCACTGGACTTTAGAGGACAGTGGACCAGGCCTTGCTAACACGATCTGCTGCTGTATCTCTGGTGCCAATGTATACTAACCACCCAATCACCATTTGTTAATATGCATTTCATCATATTTGTTGAGAATGTATGAACAAGTTTGCCTTGGGGTACACAAATACAGACCCCAAAGATTATTTTCAGAACCTTAGTTATCAAACTATAATATCCAAAAGCTAAAATGTAGACTATATTCTACATAAACAGGCCAAATTTTAGTTACATCATCATTTCATAGAAAGCAAGTACATATTGGTAGTAATAATGATGAGTTTGTCAATCTCCACAAGAGCTTCCCAGCACTTTCTCTCTATTCATTCACTCATGATCACCCTGGGAGCAGGAGCTAATAGGTTCCTCACTAAGACTGCCGGCATGAAGAAGGATGCAGGCTTGCACACCAGGGTACCAGCAATCTGACTGAACATGACAGTTTGAAGCTCTAGGCACTGGGGTCTCATCAACCACAACCCACAAGGGACCAAATCAAGTAAATTCATGTTCTTTGACAATGAAGAAAATGAATATGATAGGGACATCTACGGATCAGGTAAATCCACAAGAATTACTATGGAATAACAAATTCTTAAATCCACATTAGGAAGACTGATTCTTAATTCTGAAGTCCTCAGTTCTCTCTTGCTAACAGTCTCTTCTATGAGGGGAAGAAGGCCACAACATAGTGTTGGGGGTTAAGAATCAGTAAATTAGGGTTCAAATCTCAGCTGTGGCACTTACTGCCTATCGTATTCTGAGCAACTTACTTCACCTCCCTCTGAGCCTTGAATTTTAGTGACTATAAAAGGGGTCGGGAAAGAGATGAGGTTTTCTGCTTCTATAAACATTTACAGCGTCAGAAACCTTATACAAATTCGCTCTGAGTCAGAACTGACACCAGGGCACTTAATAATATAAAGGGTAATAATATTTATCACATAGGCTATTATTATTGTTGTTGTTGTTGTTGTTGTTGTTGTTATTGTTAAGAGTCATCCAGTTGGTTCCCATGCATGTCAATCCTGTATAGGATTTTTGAGGAAGAGCTGGTGGGTTTGAATCTTGCGGCTCACAGTCCAGTGCTGACCCTACAGCTCCACACCACAAGTCCACATAGGCCATTGGTGGTGGTGGTGGTTATATGCCATGGAGTCGATTCTGACTTATAGAGACCCTGAACAGAGTTTCCGAGGCTGTAAATATTTAGGGGAGTAGAAAGCCTCATCTTTCTCCTGTGGCATGGCTGGGAGTTTCAAACTGCTGACTTCGAGGTTATCAGACTGGCTCGTAACCACTATGCTATCAGAGCTCCTTACATTGGCTATTAGAAGGATTTAAATGAGATTATGTGTAACTAAAAGAGTAAAGGAGCTCTGGTAGCGTAGTGGTTATGAATTGGGCTGCGAACCTTAAGGTCAGCGGTTCGAAACTACCAGCCGCTCCGCGGGAGAAAGATGAGGCTTTCTACTCCTGTAAAGATTTACACCCT